AAAGACGCGGCACAAGTGTATTGAGGCCAAAGGGGATTCTCTTTGTCATTTACACAATGGCTTTTAAACAATTTTAATTATTATTTTCAATCCTGTTTTCTTCTTCTTTTAATATATGTTTGCGTACGAAAATTGGTTATTAGCTGCTGCAATAAAATTAATTATAAATATATTAATTATAATTAATTAAATGTTTTACAAATTTAAATCTTATCAATCAAATACTATCAGCGATTTGTTTTACTAAATATAATAAGCTTTGCCTTATTTTCATATTGATTTCGCTCATATTCGTTTCAGTGCTTTCAAAACGCACAGTAGCCAATAACTTTTTTTTTTGACGAGCTTCTAAACTGTTGCAAAGGTTCTTGTCTCGACTCTCACGAATTTTAAGGACATCTACTTTGACATGAGCATTCAAACTCCCTCACCAGTTGACGACGGCACTTAACTCTTTACGTCACGGTTTTTATCTGGCAAGGCTAGAAACACAAATTCTAGCATGCTCTTGTTAGGAGGGTCAAATTAAGAGATAGCTGCAACTTTTTTTATTGTACGTCAAGGGGGGGCGGGGGGTAGGTCAGTTATAAGGTGGTTACTTATGGTAACCACTGTGAAATAAGTGTTCAAATTTTTCGTTTTTTTTTTTTCTTTATTTAAAACAATAAAATACATAGTATATTACAAACGACGATGGTAATTATTAAAACATTATTTCCTTCCCTGTAGCAAAGAGGTCCTTGGCATATTATGCAGCTCCATACTGTGCGTACTGGTTTGTTTTTCGTGCTACATGCACTGCATCGCCTTTTGGTACCTCTTATGGATTGATGGTTACCTTCAGCAAGTCGTATTGATTCAGGTACCTCGTATTTGTGCTTCTTGATAGAAGCACATTTAGGTGAAGATTTGCCAGAGATTTGCGAAAACCTTCTCTTATCGCTGACATAGGCCGGTCCAAGCATATCTTGATAAACTTGGCGTCTAAAGTCCTTGAGGCACAGTTCATCTAATCCTGATGTTTCGTCTTTTTGGCACTCTTTATAAATTGGGATCATCATCTAAAAAATGAAAGAATATGCGGTGCCACCACTTTTTACATTTTCGATCAATCGCGTAGCTACATATCAGTTGATCGAATTTATCTACGAAGTTCATGTTTTCGTTATAATCTTTCAATGCTAGAGAACACGGCACTTCCACTTTCTCCCCAGTTTTTTCTGTTCTTCGGACACAAACTTCATTTCTAGGATTGGGAAAATTACTTAAGATGAAAACAAAACATTTATCTTTCCATTTCAGAATTGAAACCATTTGATTATCACTGACTCGATAATCGAACTAGCCACGCTTTAGTTGCTTATCTGGCTTCAAATTTGGAAGGTGTTTACGCGATTCATTTACTGTTCCACATGTATATATTTTTTTATGGCGTAAATCGACCTGGAGCTCGTAGCTATTAAAATAATTGTCGAAATATACTCTATGGTTCTTGTTTTCCAGTCCCTCGCAAAATTTTACGACATTGCCTCCTAAATTAGTTTCCACCTTATTTCCGATTTTTCCTGCATACATATTGAAATCCAGACAATATCCTGAAGAAACACACTTTGTCCACACCTTGTACCCCCTTTTGATAGGCTTTTTCGGCATATATTGCTTCAGACTGCTTCTACCTTTGAATTCGATCATTGACTCGTCGATAGCGATATTTTCAGAGTGGTTGTAGTTTTTTTTTGTAAAATTCTCGAAGCATTTCTATAAAAGGGCGCACCTTATATAATTTGTCATAATTCGGATCGTTCCGTGAAGGCGAAAGATTGTTGTCATTTAAATGTAAGTGTCCAAGAATCCGTGCAAAATGGTTGAATGGCATAAAATGTGATATATATTCGTCATGCAAATCAGGTGAGGATGACCAGTAGTCTCTATAACTTGGACTTTTCCTTATGCCCATTATTAAATTCAGAGCAATAAATATGGACATCTCTTCTATAATGACTGGATTGTAAGAATCTCCCTTTTGTTGAGCATATGTTATCCGTCCAAAGTAAATTAAAAATTTTGAGAGGAGTCACAATATGCCTCACTACTAAATCATATATTACGTCCCGGCAAATGAGAAGAAGGCTCAAAGTTATCAGCATCCAAAATTGTATACGCTTTCTTCCATTTGGGAGGTTGCAATGAATGAAATGGTAGCGGAGCAACTTGGTTAACCGGTTTATTACTTCCAAGTAGCTGAGCTAATGGAATTTCATCGCCAGAATCAAACTCGTCATCTGACCGAAGAAGATTCTGGTCTAATAAAGGAGACTCCTCTTCCCATTGATCATCCTCA